TTGAATTTAATCATATCGCTTCCCGGTGAGGAGTTGTTCAATGAAAGAAGAGCCATAGAGAAATCCAGCATTGAGAATGGTCTATCCAGAGAGCCGCCGCTAGGAGACGCTTCTCGAAGAATATTTTGTGCTGGAACTGAGTCCGGACAGACCTTTTTAGCGAAATCGAATATCCATCGGTTGGAGTATTCTTCACTCTCATTGAAAGATGAGCGGTTACGCATGTTGCGAGCCACCCTCCACAAGGTGTTCATTGAGGTTTCTCGTGAGAGTCCCTCGACGAAATTGCGCCAATAACCGCGTTTTTTTGCTTTGATTAATTGTTTCAGCTTTGTCTCAAGCTTTGAATATTCCTCGAAGTAAGTGGAGGTTTTGTGTCTACGAAAAGCTTTGAAAGCATCAGATTTTTCTACATACAATTTTGTGCATTCTTCGTCCCAACCAGGTGTGGCTGGTCTCCTTTTAAAGGGTGCACTTGGAACTTTTCTTTTTTGTGCTTCCAGTGAGCTTTTGTAAATCAAATCGGCTAGGAATCGATATTCTTCCAATGGTGGAAGCGCATCTATTGATTCGACACCGATTGTCACCGCCGTTGCATATTTCTGCCAGTCGATGTTCCTTGTAAGATCAAATGGAACCCGAGATGGTTCTGCAGAGTGAGGGCCACACTTAATTGAAATGATGATTGGCAAATGATCGCTACCATGGGGATCATTGATAACCTTCCACTGACAATCCAATGATAGCGATCTTGAACACAAAGATAGGTCGAGTCGGCTTTCTCGAGCCGGAGGATTTGCTATACGTGTCGCTTCACCAGTGTTCAAAATAGTCAAATTGAAATCGTCACATAAATCGTAAAAAATAGCCGCTCTATTGTCGTCATATAGATCGCCCCACCCAGTACCATGGGAGTTCATATCACCCAGAATTAATACTGGGGATGGAAGAATCGAAACTAGATTCCAGAGTTGACTACGGCTAATGGAGGTTCTTGGTGGAACGTATACTGAAGCTATGCAAAGATCTTTGTTCTTCACATTTATTTGGCAAGCGACGATTTCGACGCCTGATAGAGCAGGAAGGGAAATTTTGTAGAAAGGGTAGCACTTTTTGATCCCTAAAAGTACTCCTCCATAAGAATCGTCTCTATCCAGGCGAATAATGTTAAAATCGTGGAAGTTGAGTTCTTTATCGGAAGAAAGCCATGTTTCACAGAGAGCAAATATATCACAATCAGAATTGTGAAGTAAAAATTTGAACGAGTCTAGTTTAGGCACTAGACTACGGCAGTTCCACCAACAATCAATACGAAACTAACGATTTTAAATTGGCTCACCACTTTAGTAGCCTATTGGTCCCAAGCAAACGATTAACGTACCCTATTCTAGTTGAAATTCTATTACTACACTATGTTTGTTTTGATTCGCTATGAAAGTTTGACAGATAACATCAGGGGTGTGTGGATTCATGCAGAACATGCAGGGGTGAGTGAAATAGCTTGGGACTGCTTGGGACCGTTGTTCTGGTACTGAGTGAGCCAAAAATAATAATGATTTTCTTCGGGACCCAGTGGTCTTAGAGTTACCTCTATGGTTCCACTGTAGCACAGTGATCATATCTTCAACCTCGTTCGACGAATTATCCATCGAAAGATATGATTGATGCAAGGAGGGGCCATGAAACAGTCAATTGCTTAAGATATGATTCTAACGTTGGAAGCAAGGCAGAAACTAAGCTTCTTAGAGGGTCTTGTATGTTGAACATGTTTAATATGAATTCCACAATGTCCGAAAAAGCTAGCAAACCTCGTTCGGACTTGGATTTCTTTTGAGAAGTTTGAGGAGCAGCTTTTTTATTTCTTTTATCTTTGTTGGGCAATGGCGGAAAATTCTTGCTGCATCCAGGGATTGGATCAGCAGGAGCCTTCGGTTTTGTTTTTTCATCCCCATTACCCTGGGAATTTGGCAATCTTCTGGAGGTGATTTTAGTTTTCTTACGGCGCACTTTCGGGGAGGGGCATTTTCTTTTTGAGGATCCGTCCATTTTTGAAGGTGCGTGTACCACCGTAGAATCACCTTCATCGGATGAGTCAGAGTCCGATTCTTCAGAGGATAAAATCGAAAATTGGTTTGCATCTTGGACGGCTGATGCAGCCTTCACCATTTGAGCATAAGTCTGCTTGGAGCGTCCAGAGATTGAACGCTGCACTTTATCGGAGTGCTGCTTGTACATGGGGCACTCCTGCAAGGGGTGAGGATTCTCGCCACAGTAAGCGCATTTTACTGATTCTTTGTGGCAAGAATCCTCTTTGTGGTTTTCACCACATTTGCCACAACGAGTTTTGTTGCCGCAATGGCTGGCCGAGTGTCCCAGCCTTTTGCAGTTGGTACAATTATATACCCTCTGTACAAACAGCCGCACCGGAAAAAAAGCACCATCAATTTTAACAAAGTTTGGGAGAACTGAACCTGCGAAAGTCACCCGGAACGAGTCTGAATGTTTATAAACTTTTTTACCGTCTAGCAAAGATGCTGAATGCAGTTGCCTTACATCCAGTATCTTCACTAGCGCGGTAGCGAATGTCGAGTTTTTAAAAGTTCCCGAGGCATGTTTCAAGTCCTCGACAGTCAGACTCGCGTCGGAGACCACGCCTTCTATCTCCACATCTCGAGAAGGGATGTAGATGTTATACTCAACACTAAAAAGCTCGTGTTCAGCAATTTTATTTGCCACATCATAAGTCGGTGCTTCTACACGCAGTTTGTTGAATCTTTCTTTGTGTACCGAGATTCCCGGATACTTACGCAGCAAATCTCTCGTAATGTCGAGAGTTTTCAAAGGTTTATTTTTGGGCCGAAAAAAGACAACCCATGGTCCTTTCGAAGACGGTTCATAGTATCTGGTTCGCGTAACGTAGGCATCGGAAGATGCCATAAGTGTTGCGCAAAAGCGGTGCGCAACCACTTAAGAAGGAAAAAAAAATTTAAAACCTTCACTAATTAATTAATTTTAATTACTAGTAATTAAATTTTTTGCCCGACGTACGAACAAATCAAAAAGAAAAAAAAAATCGAAAAAAAAAAAAAAAAAAAACTTATATCTACTTGCAAAAAGTTGTCTCACTATGACCCATACTCCCCTACCAGGGGTGAGAGACAGAGTCACGCGCCACGAGGCAAAATTAAACTACAATAGGGAGGCAATGGACTTGCAAAATGTATTGTCTAATACTTATGCCGGTTGTAAACAACCTATCAGCCGGTGCAGCTAGATCGTCCGTTTGCTGCTGCTGGTGGTGATGGTTGGTGTTGGTGGGTCGGCACGATGATGATACGATGAAATGATGGGCTCGCCGTTACCTCCGGTTATGGATTACCGGGATGAGTTAAAGATGGATGGCAACTCCAAGGGGCTCGGCCCATGGAATTCCACTTCCTCTGTTGCACACTGGTCACTTGGGGCACCCAATGGGGGGTGAAAAAACCGCTCGGGCGGAAAAAAAACACCGAAAAAACTAGATGCCGCGCGACTGAGACCGGGACGTTGTTAACCGACTGAGTGCTCAACTAGGAATGAAGTCGGAGATGTCAAAGTTTTTAATTACTCTATTAACAACTAGTTGATTATTTATTGTTAGCTGTGCAGTCATTTTTCCACCAATGAGAGTGCAGCACATGTTTGGTGATGATCATCTGGATAAGTTAATGCTTATATCGAACCCAGTCACCTCCAGCATGGTCTTGCTTTGCAGCTGTGCCTTTACCACCTGAGCTAAGGGATACCGGGATACCCGAACATATTCTATAAAAAGATAAGATTAAAAAAGCATTATCATAACTAATTACTTCAGCAAAAAACTAAACGGGATTAATCACCCCAATGTTCCTGTAATCTCCTCGTCTACTTGCATACAAGTTAATGGAGATAATGTGTCAATGTAATGGACCTATGTGGTTTGTCTTATGGAATTTATAAGGCTGATGTTTTGGCAAAAATGTATAAGTGAAACACATGAATAAAATAATTAATTTCCGTGTCCTGTACAAAACTAACGATTTAAAATTGGCTTACTACTTGACTAGTCTATTGGTCCCAAGCAAATCGATTAATGCACCCCATTCTAGTCGAAATTCTAGTACTACACTATGTTTGTTTTGATTCGCTATGAAAGTTTGACAGATAAAATGAGGGGTTCGTGAATTTTCCTATGTTTCGAGGGGTGGTTAGCTTGGGACTGAAGCAAGTACCAGAGCTGAGCCAAAAAGTTGAGCACGTTTCTGGTCTATGATGCTACTACCTCTATGATGCTACTCTTCAACTAAAAAGCAAAAACCTTGTGGTTTTGGTGTATTCAAATGATTTTTTGCAAAATTTTCCAGTGCTTTACTAATCTTTGCAATCTTTTGCGCAGCTTAGAAAAACACTCGGAAAACATACACGAAACGAAAATTATTTTTTTTATCTTGAATGTGTTTCACTTATACTATTGTACCAAAATATTAGCCTTATACATTCCATAAGGGTTCATTCAAATATTACGTAACGCAAGAGAGGGTGAGGATAGTCTGAAAATGTGTTAACCACCATGTACATATTAGGTATAGGAAAAATGCGTTACTCCAGAAAAACCCCACACGTGACATTCGATTTTACATTCGTTCTGTTCGTCGTATCATTATAACGCATAATTATGTGAATCCTGGTGTGAATACAGCGCACTATTTCCCTATTTTCGACCCCTATGTTCAACGTACAGAACAATAATAAAATCGATATTCATGTGTGTTTTCCGGTTTTCAATTGTACCGATAATATTTATAATCATCTGAAACCTTCATTGTTCGGTGTTGCGTATCCAATTTCGTCCTTTTTAAAGTTTGCTCTCTGCTGAGCAATTTCGCCCTCATTCGAGCTTCTAGACAAGTACCCATTTTTATTTCTTTCACGCGTCAAAAATGTAAACAACACAGCTGCGGCTTGCAAACGTAAATAAATTAAATTTCGGATAGCTCCTTCTCATAATACTATGTAGCTGCAAATCGTTGTAAAAGTGCATTTTTCCAATGAAATATACTGTAAATTAAGTGTTCAAACATGTCTGAAGGTAGTTCCGACTCGGAAAGCTGCCCAAGCTTTCTTACCGAATCGGAAAGCGAACATGAATCCAACTATGGTGAGGTAAGTAATGGATCCGCATTGGATAATCCTTGATTTTTTTTTCTGTTTTTGGTTTCCGTCATTATAATACTGAGACGTTGATTTTTCTATTAGGAAAAGGAACAGAAGGAAGTGGACTATACGGCCACAGCAAAGGAGATCATATGCGAGAATGTGAACATAACGACCGATAATGCGTTGAAGCTCAACAGCGGCTACCACAATATGCTGAAAGTGCTGAAGAATAAGCTGGAGATACTGCTGGCCCAGTGTCAAGATCGGCAGGTGGAAATCGGGAAGCAGATTGAAGAATACAAGAGCAACAAGAAACCGCTGGTGGGGAAAGCCAGAACGTCTGGATACATCTGTGGTCAGCCGTACTTTAAGGACGAGGATTTGTATCCTGGTCCGCACAATGAGGATTACTTGCATAGAAAGAATGTTCTAAAGGAGTTCTTTCCATTGGATATGTTTGAATCAACGGACAGTAATTGGACTGTTAAGGATAAGGTGAACATATTGAAGGGGGTGAAGTTGCAGATAATTGAGTTCATTGAGAGGGAGAACCGTCTGAAGATTAAGAAGCTGGGAAACGGTTTGGAAGCGGAGCGCTTGAGACTGGAGATGGAATCGCTGAAGAAGAGAGATGTCAATGATTTGTGGGAGACGGTTAAGCGTTTTGCAAATGAGTACCCTGGGCAAAAGTTTGAGATTGATTGGTTGCGAATTTCAAATGTTGAAATTAGCGGAAGGCACTCGGTGGCTGCTTGTGTCGGATTGTGGAACAACTACATGCTTCCGGGGCTGGTACGAGATGCTTGGAAGGCAGATGATGAGTCGACCCTACTGGATGCGGTGCAAAGGAATGGCAACCAAGATTGGGCTCGGATTGCGGCGGAAGTACCGGGAAGATCGCCTTATCAATGTTTTGTACATTTTCAGACAACGTTTTCCCAGCTGGCTCAGATCAAGCGGGAACGTTGGACCCCAGAAGAAGATGCGCGGTTGGTGAAGGTAGTAGATGAGAATAGAATCGGTAAGAATATCGTTTGGAATAAGGTGGTGGAGAACATGCCACTGAGGAATAAGATCCAGTGCTACAATCGGTACATGTTCACCCTCATGAGGCCAACTAAGCATACCAAATTTACACCGGAGGAAGATTGCGTCATTCTTGCGTACGTTCAGCAGTGTGGTGACGATTTCCGGTTTGTTCCACCAAACTTGCTGCCAGGAAGGTCTAATCGACAGATTTGGGCACGATACAACCATACGTTGAAATATGTTAACAAACACTCGGGATGGACCATTGAAGAAGACATGCGTCTTATGAACTTTATTAAGGAGAATTTGACCGATGAAGGACCGAGGAAAATTTCTTGGGCAGCATGCTCCAAAGCGCTGGGAAACCATTCACGATTGAGCTGTCGAACACGCTACTATACGATTGAAAAGTTTTTGGAAAAGAATCCGGACGCTACGCTGGACGATGTTCCACGGAAGGGAAAAAAGCTGTCCTCAAAGGTAACCGACGAAAACTGGATGAAAACCTTTATAAAGATCCGTAACGAATCGAATGATGCACAATCGGCGGAAGTGCAAGAAGAACCTTCCACATCCGGTGCAGTGCAGGTAGAGAAGAAGTTCAAATCGAAACGGAAGTCGAAAGTCGTAGAAAGCAAACCGAGTCGTGTCTTCTCGGATACCATCAAATGTGCAATTAAGAAAAAGTTCTACGAAAAATTCAAATACTCTTTCCACTATCGCTTCGGAGATCAATCGCCCGCCATAGAGAATAACAAGGTTTTCTGTCTCAATAAAGCAGTATTCCACCTGCTAAACTGTACGACCAACTTAGACCGTGTCAGCGTCTACATGGACAGCTTTACTCCGCATGAACAGGTACTTCTGCGGAGCAGTCTCTCCATTAGGCTTAATCCAGGCTTGAAGAACTTTCTGCAAAGTGCAGTGTTTTGTTTCCTGTTTCCTCCTAACTACAACACATTGCTTGGTTTGCGGGGCGTCGTTCTAAATGCTACCTATCCCAGTGAACCCAGAGCTACTAACAAAGAAGACAAAATCGAACTGGGGCAAACCAACGAAGCAAGTTACCAATACGCATTGAACACCTTTCGCAATCGCTTCCGAATGCTGTTCTACTGGACGATGCTACTGGTTAAGCAGAATCCAGCCGAAGCCACCTTCATAGACGCCGATGAGCCACCAAAGCAAGAAGACTACCCTCAGAACTCTCTCGAACAGCAGCAGATAGCCCTGGAACAATTAAATAAATTGTGTCAAAGTGAGCGGCTGTCTAAAGTCGGTCATACCAGCAATCCAAATCGCCCAACGCTTAACGATGCGACCGTCTGCCTAGAGCAATTGGAAATCAACCGTCGGCATCCATCGATTCGTCAACCGATAACACCCAAAGTGCAGATCATTTCCGTCAAAAAAATCACCGGGGCATCTTCTGAACTGATCCCAAGCAAACCTTCCCAGCTGCAGTCCAGTCAAATTTCGAGCGAATTTACTTCGGCGACTGTCGCATCATGTTCACCCCCGGTCGCTAGCGTTCCAGTCGTTCCACAACAACCTCCGTATCAACTCGAATACTCCATTCTGCCGGAGCAGGTGCATATTTTCGAATCGAGCGCTCCCGTTTACGGACAGCCCGTTACTTTAGAAGCGGAGAAACTGCCAGCTCCGATGGAGTTCGTCGCGCATATAACCATCATCAATCCGGAAGACCTCCCGGCCGTTCGGGTGCCAGCGGAACCGGAAAGTATTCTACCGTCAGTCGAGTCTGAGCAAACGGAGGAGAAATCAAACGGGGAATTGCCGTTGACTACCGAGGCACCAACGACTGTCGAAATCAACGAAATGGCTGACGAGCTGTATCAGAATAAGGAGGGCGGTAGTGGCACTGGAGACGGTCGTTTGGAACAAGCGGAACCAAAACTGGAGCTTGGAGATTCAAACCGGGAAGATGTAGAACCAGTGATGCAGGAAGGTAAGTTAGACTAGTAATTTACAGCTTTAGGTATTAATTATACATCGTTATATATGCTTGTCTACAGTCACAGACCAGACGAATTCGCCTTACGAATCAGTTCATTCAGCAGAGATCGAAGAAATAGCTACCAACCAACTCAACCTTGAAACCTTGGCTGAGTTGCCACCCGAAGACGTTTCTCGAACCGAATACGAAACTGCAGCATCAGAAACGACCGAAGAGACCGAACCCAAACATGATCCTCCGGAAGTCGTCAATACGCTACCGTTGGAAGAATGCCCCGAGTTAACCAACAGCATGGACACTCCCGAGTCCTACATCGATGATATGGAAACTTCTCTGGACCATTCCCGACACAGTTTGGACATGGAACTATCCAGCATCACCGTCACCGCAGACTCCAGCGGTAGCTCTTCTTCGTCCGACGCGGAAAATTCCATTGAACAACTCAATTCGCTCAGTTCCACGCAGGTTACAAATGTCACCAACGTGGGCGATTTTGTTATTCAAGAGCTGCAAGAAACGGATTGCCTTAGTCCGAAGAAATCTGACGATCTGGACGAATCGGTGCTGGATGACGTTCCTGAATCGGAATCCTACGTGGAACCTAGTGCGAGCTTCGAGTCATCCCAGCAAGACCACAGCTCGCAGTCTTTGGATGAACCGGATTGGAATCCAGAATTATGTGAAGCTCCCAGGAGGACCTACAGTCGATCGACGCACAGTATTTCGAGGCATAGTGATAGACTGAAGCAGTCGTTAAGGTCTCCATCGCATGCTTGGCGCTGGTTGCATGTGGATGAGTCCAATCGCGAAGATGTAGAGTTGCATAGGAGTTTGTGGAAAGAATGTGATCCCTTTAGGATGCAATTCCAAGCCACTCAATCTAGTGAAGATATACCTAAAACAGAGCTAGTTGCACCACACATTGACGAAATCATTGTAATAGATGATGATGAAGTCGAAATCAAGGACGAACCTGTGGATCCCACAGAACCAGAGACGGAAAATGCGGTGGACGAAGCGTGCATTCAGCAAATAATCGAAACCGCGAGCAACATTCTCCAGTTATCCAAAGCTTTTAAGATTACAAACCCAAATAACGATGAACCTGCACAACCCGCAGAACTCCCAGTCTTCTTTGAACCGTACTCTGACGCGCAGACCGGTTCGTTGATAGTCCAAACTCCATCTAGAGTTTTCGACGAACAGTCCAACTGCTACTACTACGTAGATGAAATACAGGATGCTCCGTTGTTGATTGAAGGCACCCAAACCTCGGAGCATTACCCCTTGGAGTACTGGTCATTCCGTCACGACGAACATTATTCTGAAAATGGCAACACGGACACGATACAGTTTGAAACACCTCGAAGGATACTGACACCGGCACAGGATCCACAAACGCCATCATCGTCCAGGACAGTTACACCCCGCCAGTCGCCGGTGCAAATCAAAACGTACACCGCCAGAACTAAACGTATTTTCCTGTTTTGATATTCAAGCATTGCGTAAACTCAAACTTTCCATTTTTTTCCAGCTATGTCCAAGTCAAACATGGTAGAAACTCTGGTCCTTCAGCAAACGTGCTTAGATAGCCCAAAGATTCGGCAACCGAAACGGCCGCCACGTGATCAGACGAAAGCTAGCCCTCAGCAGCAGCACTGCATTCAAAACCAGGCCCTCTCGCTGTTGGATGCTCTTTTCAGGCAGCCCAGACTCACACCAACACGGCAGCGGCCACTAAGTCCATCCACTTCCATGACGTCGATTTCATCCTGTAACTCAGAGCTCTCAAAACGACCACCCTCTAGTCAGCGGCTGAGCGTAGAACAGCCGATCAAAAAGTTTAAAGTAGAAGCAGAAGAATCTCTATCTGAGGAGCAATTCGATGTGCAATTTAATGCGGTGGATGTGATAAGCATGCTGGCAAACGATGATGCCGACATGGGCGAGGACGTTGTTGACGATGAGGAAAACGAATTCCTAGCCCAGTTGGCAGCGACGCCTAGCGAATCTTCGACGATGCCATCACCGATCAAGATCGAAGAAGAAGAACGTTCGCCGAATTCGCTTTCTACGACGCAGAGAAAGGTCATCATCCAAAGCACGGCGAAACGACGAGTGCCAAGAGAATAGTTTCGAGGCTATTACGATTTTGTATTTTCTGAATAAAACGTCGTTTCAATCGGATTTGCGTTGACTCACTATTTTTACACAGTACCTCAATGGCATCGTTCGGCGTAGACTAACTAAGACGCATCTTCTTCATACAGACAGTATATTTTGCTCACTTTATTAATACAGACCGTAAATCGTTACTTACCTTAAACAAATCTTAACTTAAGAAAAAAATCTATTCGGACATCCGGCTTACGTGTAGGTATTCGCCAACCGACGCATACGTCGAGTATTTCGATCCTGGTCGCGAATCTTCTTCTCCATCTCGGCATCGGTAAGCGTCTCCAGGAACGGTGCCCACTGATCGGCGTCGCTCGGTGTCCTAAACGGAACCTCAACCGTGGCCAGTGGTGCTTCACTGAACGCATAGGTTCGCTGGTGCCAGGACAGCTGTCCCCGAATCGAGTAGGATATTGCCGTTACAAACTCCCCACCCAATCCAAGCTCCGCACACAGTTTGATGGCAAAGTCCTCCGGATTATTATCCTTCTGGGCCATGTCCCACTCGACCTGATCCACCAGCGAGGTGTTACCAACGTGAATGTTTAACTTAACCAGCACCCGCTGATCGGATCCATCTTCTAGTAAAATCGGTTCGTTTGGATATGCCTCAATCTGCTGCCGAATAGCAGTCGCTATGGCAGGGACGAATGGAGTCGTATTCAGATCTAAATCGTCGCACAGAACTTCCGCAAACTGTTCCGGAGTGATCATCGATTCATTCCGATTCCAGGTGAAAGTATCGCGCAACTTTTGCCCTTCGATTTCCATGTCCAAGCGAATCGGAACCAAGATCTCAGCCTGAGCGGCATTCTCAATGTTCAGCGTTGGATCCGTATCGTCGAAGCACATTGGGAAGGTGCGAATCTTTTTGTTCTGAACCCGATTCCTATTGATAGGAGTTGCTTGTGGTACCGCATCCAAGTGGCTCGAGTTGGGCATGGTTGGCACCCACGGTGGTTGCTTCTTGCTCGATTTGCTCTCCCTGGGAGCCGGTAGTTCAGTCGTAGTCACCGATACAGCTTTGTACTTTTCATCATTTCCATCCAAAATCTCCTGCACTTCGGACGCCCTGAGCAGGGAAACCGAACTGGCCAGGAATTGGTTACTGATACCCGAGTCGAGTAGCTTCTTGCGTTCCTCCGGACTGAGAGTCCGACGCATCATTCCTGGGTACTTTTTGTACAGCAACCCACGGAACAACCGGAGGTAGTTGCCCACCTACAAATTAATAAAACATGGTAAGCATCAGGGCGTAACGCCTCCCCTGTGGCAGCCATAACAAAATAGAAAAACACTCACCTCCGAACCGATGCAGAAATATTCACCATTTTCCTCCAGCTGGAAGCTGACCGGCTTATCGCCGTAGGTTTTCAGCGACATACTGATTTTTTAGGATTCACAAGATGCACAAATTTGAAGGTTTTAGGGAGGAAAGCAGTGAAAAATCGTTAACTATTTCCAATCACACAAAACTAGCGTCACCAAAAATACCGACTTTTGTATGATGGTCTGTCAAAGTGACAATTTTATTGCTTGCTTTTCTCAGTGTGGGATCAGACAGATAGATCGAACAGGAAATTCGCCCTTCAAACGAATGCACAGAAGAAAAAAACTACTCAAATTTTGAGTTTTTTAAACTCAAATTTGAGCTTAGCGACCTCTCTTGGTTTCATTCCGGATACGTACCAACAACTCTCGCTCCAGCTCCGTTAATCCCGAGGTTAATCCGAAATCTTAGGAAGCAGCCAGCTTTAAAACAATATTTACATAAATTATCAAATGATATTGGGATTTTTGTTCATTGAAAAGTAGGTTACTTATTACCTTAACTATAATATTGGTTTTCGATCTCGTTTTCGATGGTCCCTGTCGGAAGATCATCCACTCCTGGAGATGGCCATCAGAGGCCAATGTACGAATCAACTCAAAATTAATTAATTTGTACTCATCTTGACAGCTAAGTGCAACCAGTCAAAATTGAGTTCTTTGAGAAGTATCCAATTTTGAGTAAGTGAAATGTAACTGTTTCATGAAAAGTGAATATTGGGTAAAAAGTCTTGCGTTGTACCACAGTCGAAGTGACAGACGGAGCGGCTCGAAAACTTTGGTGACTAACCTGCTATTGCAATTTTTCAGTATACCACATGGCAACACCACTACTACTGGATTGTACCATAGAGGTAACTCTAAGACTAGTAGGTCCCGAAGAAACGTGCTCAACTTTTTGGCTCAGCTCTGGTACTCTCTTCGGTCCCAATCTAATCGATGCACCCCTCGAAACAAAGGAAAATCATTTAACCCCTCATTTTATCTGTCAAACTTTCATAGCGAATCAACGCAAACATAGTGTAGTACTAGAATTTCGACTAGAATGGGGTACGTTAATCGATTTGCTTGGGACCAATAGGCTGGTCAAGTAGTGAGCCAATTTAAAATCGTTAGTTTCGTAGGTAGTTGGTAGGAACGTCTCGAGAAGGGTAGTGAATGTCACTGAGATTTTCTTTGTTTGCAGCCAGAATCAAGTGATACGCGTGACACCTCAGTAATTGGTCATACTGCTAGAACACATAGACGCCGCCAGGGACGCCGCTTTATTATCGCGTGCAAAAGGCAGCATTCGAGGGCTTGAATCGTTTAGTGGTTTGTTAAACGAACGGAGTGGCATCGACGGAAGCGAAAATTGTCTTCATGACTACCAACTACCTGGAGACGTTAGATCCTGCTTTGATATGACCGGGACGTCAAAGAATACATCGGATATTGCAGCCGACAACCCATTAACCCGCGAAATGAGTCGGAACGAGTAGTGACCCTCTCGTTAGAAGACATGGAGTAAGGATCGATGCGAATATGACCAGTAGCATGGAGATCGGGAGGATTCCAACTATGCCACCCACGAAGCACGCATTTGGTCGTTTGATGTATTAATATCCTTAGTGAACGGGAACCGGTGCATATTTCATAGTAGTTCACGAATACGGTAATGGATTTTTTTTTCAAGTAGCGCTAGTTCTGGCATCCACACAAAATACACATAACCAACTTTTTCTTCGTAGCTGTCTTCATAGCTATATATGAACTTGTTGAGTGGCATAACGGGAAGAACCAAGAATATTCTGAATAATCCAATGAAATAGCCCACATCTGCTCAGCAACCATTCGATCAACCTTCATTATCGTGCCCCTTAGACTCGTCCTGCAAGAATTAACCGCTGGCTGTAGGCCGGATCTCTCTTATTTGGTAGTGCGTATATGGAATGACTACCAAATTAAAAATATCTTTCTACAGCCATCGGTCAATCATTGACTGGATGATTCCCAACAAACAATTTGAGTTGATTAATAGTCGAATAAGCTATTTTTTAGCTGAAGAAGCATATTTTTGCCTGAATAAGCTCTTATTCAGCATTCAATGTTTGTTGGGTTATTATCCGTTCTTTTCTTCATATAGTTACGGATAATCTAGCTTATTAGAGGCTGAAATGCCCTGTTTTTATAATGTTGAGCTTGACGTTGAATCATTATCCCCAATTCCGGGATTCTCGAGTCCGTGTCCCGATCAGATTTCTGTGGAATCCTACCGATTGCTGGAGGGTGATCTCTACTTAAGAGAAATGCAACAAAAACAAAAAAGAGCATCACACGAATGTAAACATTCTTGGCTCTAGGCAGTGCTGCCAAAAAATATTGAAAAATTGTTCTCATAGTGATTGAAGGGTGTTTGAGTGTGTCGAAGAGTGTTTTTGATGTATTTAGCACAAGGTGGTAGAGTGACTTACCCCCTGGGTTCCGTGTAGATTTTCAGCAATATACATATGTACTGTCAATTTATTGAAAGATCATTTTACTGGTCATTCAGCAAGCATAATTGGCTGAAAGCATTGCTGGTTTACGGGGTTTACGGCCATAAATTAGGTGTGAAAGAACCTTAGGCTGTGTTCCATTTGGTGAATTTTCACTTAAATTTGACACTTCGAAAATAAATTAGGATGTTCGAAAATCCCTCTGTTGTTGATCTTCCTATTTTCGAGAAGGTGTTTGTCAAAGTTGATTCCAGGTCTGTCAGTTATAAGTCTGGTACAATAGCTGGTTTATTTAAAAATTTTGCATCTGTCAAATTTAAGTGAAAATTCCTCGGAAAATTCACCAAATGGAACACAGCCTTAGGCTGTGTTCCATTTGGCGAATTTTCACTTAAACTTGACAGATGGAAAATTTCCAAATAAACCTGCTATTCCAGCAGACTTATATCTGACAGACAAGGAATCAATTTTGACACACACCTTCACGAAAATTGGCCGATCAACAACAGAGGGATTTTCGAACATTATAATTTAGTTTCGAAGTGTCAAATTTAAGTGAAAATTCACCAAATGGACCACAGCCTTAGTAAATTATGAACCAAGTTTCGAAGTGAGTTTTCCAAAGCATCCCTAGTCCGGTAATGAACACTAGTGCCGCTGTAAGAAAAATTGAGCTCCCCTCGAGTGACCTCTTTGGTCGTTTTGACAGTTTGATTCGAACAAAAACGCCGTCGGTAGTTTCGCGAGAGTCGCGAGCGAAAAATTGTTTATTTCCAACCAGTTTGTTTATTCCCGTGAAATTTTCCCGGTTTTCAAAGTTTTCTGCTCTAATATCCGGCTTCGTCGGTCCGGAGGACGATGGCCAACCGTACGGTGAAGGACGCGAAAAATGTACACGGCACCAATCCGCAATATCTGATCGAGAAGATCATCCGCTCGCGTATCTACGATTCCAAGTACTGGAAGGAGCAATGTTTTGCTCTGACGGCGGAACTGCTGGTGGACAAAGCGATGGACATCCGCTACCTGGGTGGGGTTTTCGGTGGCAACATCAAACCGACACCGTTCCTATGTTTGACGCTCAAGATGCTACAGATCCAGCCGGAGAAGGATATCGTGGTGGAGTTTATCAAGAACGAAGAGTTCAAGTATGTGAGAGCGCTGGGGGCGTTCTATTTACGGCTGACGGGTTCGTCGTTGGATTGCTACAAGTATCTGGAACCGTTGTACAATGACAATAGAAAGTTGAGACGCCAGAATCGGATGGGACACTACGAGTTGGTTCATATGGATGAGTTTATCGACGAGTTACTGCGGGAGGAACGCGCGTGCGATATAATTTTGCCTCGCATTCAGAAGCGGCACGTGCTGGAGGAGAATAATGAGTTGGAACCGAAGGTGTCGGCGCTGGATGACGATCTGGACGAGGAGATGCCGAGTGACGATGAAAATCTGGAGGAGATGGCTGAAGCGTTGAAGGCAAAGGAGAAAGAGAAGAAACTGGAGACGATTCGGATTAGGGACGGTGGGAAGCGGGACCGATCCGAGTCGAGGGAACGACAGCAGGTGGAGAAAGTGAAGGAGCCGAGAGAGCATAAGGACCGTGGAGTGGATCGGTACCGGGACTACGATAGGGGACGGGAGCGGGACTACGACAGAAGGGAGTAAGTTTTCCGTTTTAAAAGCGACCGTAGAAGAAAGATTTAACAGATTTTGTTTTTTTTTTGCAGACCCCCGTCGGATTATCGCTACAAAGAGCGAGAAGTACGCGAAAAAGATCGCGATCATCAGAGAAGACATGATCGTGAAAGAATGGACGATCGAGACCGGGACCGTGATCGAAGGCACGGCGAAAGAGAGCGCGATCGGGAGAGGAATCGAGACCGGGAACGCGACAGGGACCGTGATCGGAGGGACAGAGACTACGAACGGGACCGCGATCGAGATTACGATCGACGTCGTCGATAAATGTATGTGTTTAGTTGCATTGTCTCCTTTCTTTGAACAAATGTGTGTACAAGATGAAAATTGGTGGGATTGCTTTCGGTAGAAAGGTGAGAAATGTCCTAAACTTTCGATAACTTTATTGGTTCAAATAGAATAGACAATCTGTATATAATTTACGTGCTGATCTGAACTAACGTTCTCTTGGCGGCTGCTTCCTTCCGCTTGCGTCTCATATCCTTTTGCCGTCTGCTCTTGGTGGCATCTCGGAATAGTTCAACCCCCTGGTTGGCTTCCACTTCTCGCTGCAGCATTTGCATTCCGTGAAAGTTGACCCCGACCATGTCCCGCAGCTCAACGATCGCACCTTGAAGATTGTGGATAATATCCTGAATCACCGGCAGGAGAATCTGATTGTTCACGATAGGCTTTTGATGGATTCGGAACAGGAACAGGACCACTTTGCAGATGATCTCCGTCTGATCTTTGCGGCTTTGTGTGAGCTTCGGGATCCGTTCGAGGAGTTCACATACTGCTGAGAAAGGAAGAAGTAGAAGGGCTTCTTCCAAATCGCTAGCACGGATGCGAGTGAGGACTGCCAGTAGGAAGTCATCGGTATTGGTAGCTTCATAGGCAAACATCAGTGGCGGGATGATGTTCTTCGTTTCCTCTTCTTCGAACGTTTTGCTAACTTCCAAACACTCGAGGATATTCTCAGCAGCTTTTTCCGAACCGATTGTCTTCTTGGAAGGTAGTTTGAGGCCTGGCAAACCAGGAACGCTGGAGTCCTCGCCAGTGGCGAGGGTTTTGTTCTCCAGTTCTTCTCGTTCTTCTTCCTGGACGTCCTGCAGGATCAGAGGTTCATCGGTTCGTTCGTATAGGCGGAGGGTTCGATCCGAACCGCAGCTGACAACGTATTTTCCATTTGGGCTTACGGCTAAACTGTGCGCTTCGCCGACGTGTCCTGGGAGAGTAATGATCTTCTCGAAACTATCGGCATCCCATTGCTTGAGTTTGCCGTCTTTGCCACAGGAGAAGAATAGGTGAGTTTTGGGGATAAACTCCAGTCCCATGATGGAGTTGTCGTGCCCGATCAAGGATCTATGGCAGTCACCAAAGTCCATGCCCCAGATTTTGATACTCCGATCGGCGGAACCTGTCACGATGATGGTCGAATCGTACGAAATGTCCATGCACAAGACCGGGAGCTTGTGGCCGTAAAGGGAGAGGTAGAACTTGAGTGTATCAAGGAAGAAGATTTTCACCGTGGAATCCAGAAGGGCCACAGCGATGTACTTGCTGTTGCGGGAAATACGCACACACAACACGGTTTCTTCGAGTTTTAGAACGTTCTTGTGCAGCAGGGAGAGTACTTTGACTTCGCTTTTATCGTCCTTGGTTGGATCCGCGATCAACTCAAAGCTCCAGAATTTGACCGTCGTATCGCCGCCTCCAGTTACACATCCTCTCATATCTGGCATCAGAACTATACTCCACAGCTCTTTCTCATGGGCCGCAATTCGCTCGATAGTTTCTCCCGTTACGATGTCCACAATTAGCAGCTGTCCGGTTTTGAGACCAACCAATACGTGACGATCTCCTGGCACGAAACAAGTACTAACGACGTAACCCGTTTCGATTGTCCTCAACGAAGCCTGCGAGGCCCTGCTCCAAAGTTTCAACGACTCACCACTGCCGGAAGCGATTGCCAAGCTATCCGAGCTGAAGGCCACGCTGCGGACCTCCGAAGGATGGCCCGGCTGGCGAATGGTATGAATGGCATTCGCCTCTGCGTGCTTCTCCGCTACGTTCAATGTAAATACCTGGACAAAGTTCTTGACGTAGGTGACACAGATTCGAAGCTCGTTGTTGCTTCCCAAAAGCAGATCGAATGATTTGACTTTCTCCGGCACCTGAACCGCCGGAAGACGTTTGATTTCGTCAGTTAGCGAGAGTTGACGCTCCACTGAATTGGTGTTCGTATTGTCCTCGCCTTTGGACTTTGCGTCGAGTTTCTTCAATCGTTTCGTTAGACGAACCAAGGCCTCATCGTCATTGTAAAAGTAGAACAATTCAATCTTCTTGTCCGTGCCGTGGCACCCCAAGATTTGTCCATTGTTTTCCACTACTAAATTAATCGTCCTGCCGTAACCGGACCGCTGGATATTCCCAATCTGCGTACACCTGAATGGACTCGTGGCTTCCGATTCCAGTAGCAAATCATCCAGATCTCCCGTTGGCTCCGCAATTGGGTTGCTACTATTTTCAGCAACTTTATATACAGAAAGCTGAGAATCTCCCGATCCTGCCACCAAAAAATCATCGTTCCTCATCAGTGCTATTCCCCAAACCTCGGTCCTATGGTCAACGATCGTCTTGAAGCAGCTTTCAGTTTCAATGTTCCAAAACTTGATTTGGGTATCCTTGGAACTGGACAGCACCACATCGTGATACCGCTGCATGAAGCAAGCCTCCGTAATGGCTCCGTTGTGCCCCACCAGTCGACACTTTCCACTCTGTGCTACGACGTCCGACACGACCAGATCGTTATCCAACCCGCCGGAAACTAGCTTCAACCCAATTAGATCGAAATTCATCGCACTAACTGCTGATCGGTGCGCCGCAAAAGTACACACCGACTGCTTGCTTTCAAAGCTGAACATCTCAATTACCCCATCCGTATAGCCCACGGCCAGATGCTTCTGATCCGGACTCGGTCGAAGATAGGTTACTTCCTGTTTGTCCCGCACGAGTTCCATCGCTTTTTCTCCGAGCCTACGGAAAACAAACCAACGTAAGACGATTTCAGTTTAACACCATTCCTCTGAAGCTTACCTAGTGTTCCAAACCAGGACCTGCTCGGCTCCGGCCACGGCCACAAATCGGCCATCCACACCGCCGACGGAAACGAACGCAACATTCGCTCGTCCGCTGGCGATGATATTGAAGTTTGACACTGGCTTGAATGCCAAATATTGTTTCGTAAGACCCATCTCCTTCTATTGATTCCGTTTTTCGACGATTTTCATAAAAACTACCCGGATTTTAATCGAAAAATAGGAAACTTATCCAGAACCGCACCGCAGCGTGAACAAAAACATGCTGTTTGGTAGCTCACGTTTGACGTTTTCCCTCTGAGGCGCTGAGTGTGCTTCACTCATACTCACACATAAGATGATTCTTCTCATCAAGAAACGTAAACAAGTCACTTATGGTAGTTAAGCTTCAACTCGAAGTAACTTTTGATACCGACCCTGTTTGAATGATCTGCTAAATCTTTGCTTAGAGTCGTGTTGATTAAATCTGATGTCGACATCAAAACTGCCGGACATTCTTAGTCAGGATTTAATCCGAGGATAATACCCATCGGAGCTTACCACCATTAGTGTTCATTCCGTTCATTCTATCAATTCAGTTACAGCAGTTGAAGAGGGAAATGAAGATTGCCTACTTGAAGGCTGATTTATTATCTGATTTATTATTCAAGAGCAAGGATATTCTCAAAAAGGATGATTTACAGCTCCGTGTGCTGCGAGGGGAACTTCTTCAACACGGCATGGTACAGGTTGTAGAATGCGTACACCGATACCGACAGGATCACAATCAGCGCTCCGCCGAACGCCATCGAAAGAAAGTTCCCGTCGATGATGCCACTGCAGTTGGACCGGGTCTGCGGGGACCACAGATCGGAAGCAGTACCGCTGGGGGTAGTGTTTTGCCGTTCCGCAATCAGTCGCTTCATCTGGTTCAAACGTTCGCGGAGCACTTCCACCGATTCCGTCGAGAGGTCCTCTGCGAAAAAATGAACGAATTAAACCCAAATGGCGAAAAAAAAAAATCTTTCACATCAAAAATCACCATCTCGAATACCGCTCGCGGTCGTCTTTGACTTCGATGGCATTCTGCGTGTTTGATGCTGGATGCTGGGATTCAACGAATGTGACTATATATAGGCGTGATTCGATCTCACAAACTTGCGCCTGGGTGTTTATTGTCCACGTGCACGTAATTTTCACTTGAGCGGATGATTTTGAGTCGGATTTTGAGCAATTAGTTGTTGGTTTTTGATTGGATGCTGCCAAGCGATAGTTCAGCGAAAATATTGATTTTCTAGCCGAGCGTCAGATGAATCTTGTGTTGTTTCGAGCTTCTAACTACCACCAGCAGCATCTCAACGCTGTCGTGATCGAGCAGTTTGGGGTGAACACAAATGTTTACGTAAATCATCTTTTAAGACATTTTTATGGGACATGTGACTTTCCTAATTGACAATTCATTGAAAAAAGGCAAGTTATCGCGATATTGTGCAAGAACGCTAATATTAAAATACGTGTCCAGTCATTTTAAACTGCTCGAATGATCTGATCTTTCAGCAGTGAAGCAATTTTGGCGTGACTTTCTACCAGCGATTTCACAAAACTGGACAAACTAATGAAACGCGCAAATTTTGGCTACTCTTTTTGTGGTTCTAGAAGAAAATATGTCAAAATAATGTTTTATTTCAAAGTTCGAGTGGTAGTAAACGTCATTTTAACTGCTCGAATGAAGTGGTTAATTGCATACATTCAGACGCATTGAAGCTTTTGAATGGACCACTTTGTGAAGCAGATTTGAAATATTTTATTTTTGGTAAAACAATTTTATTTTCACAAACGGACAATGAACCGAAGGGCTGTCAACTTGAGTATTTTCGATTCATCCACCCGACTTGAAAAGGTGTATTTTGTATTTGATCGAATTTATGTATTTTAAAGTTTAGTGTATTTTTGCATTAAAGTGTATTAAATTCATTATGATATGTATTTTTCGTGTACAAAGTATTTTCGAGGTATTTTTGTGTATTTTTATTAAGGTATTTTAGTTTCAGCGTGTACGCATTTACGTATTTTTTGTGTATGTCCCGAAGTGTGTATTTACAATTCAGCTGATTTATGGAGTTGATCGCCCCTCGCCATGAACTAACTGAAAACTTTAAGCAATTGGGTTCTTTAAGGGTATTGAGGTAAATGAATATTCGTATTCTGCCTAGTATTCTGCATTAAAAATGGAACCCAAACCCAAAATTTCATCAATTTTGGTACACTGGGACTACTTTAAATAAGAACGATTACATTTGCAAAATCACCTTATTAGCGCCCCTTGGTGTCACTTTGTATGGGAGCGAGCTGTCAGTTTGTCAATTTAGTGTCAAACAGTGAAGTTGTTATTTTGCTTTAAATCTTGATTTAAAAAAAAAAATGGGTTCGAAAAAAATATCGCTGTGCTCAGAAAACGAAGTTCTTTCAGGTGATATATAAAAACCGATATATTTTTGAAAATTAAAGAACCCAATTAAGCATGTTTTTTTTTATTGATTTATATCGAGATGGTTGCAGTTTCCTATCAATCATAGTAACATCAATCATCTAAGACTAGAAGCCTAGAGGGTCCCGAAGAAACGTGCTCAACTTTTTAGCTCAGCTCTGGTACTCTCTTCGGTCCCAAGCTAATCTATGCACTCCTCGAAACATAGGAAAATCCACGAGCCCCTCATTTTATCTGTAAAACTTTTATAGCGAATCAAAACAAACATGGTGTAGTACTAGAATTGCTACTAGAATGGGGTACGTTAATCGATTTGCTCGGGACCAACAACTTAGTCAAGTAGTGAGCCAATTTAAAATCGTTAGTTTTCACCGGTTAGTAGGTCGTGTTACGAAAAATGGCTAAGCACTGTACCTTGATTTTTTTTTAATTACTGGAAAATCAGTGAATATCAGGGAATTTAGTTTTCTTCATTGAGTTGATACCCTGAATGTGGTGACCCTGAAACTGATACTGTTTGTTAGAAAAATACCGAAACACATTCTATGGGCTAGGGTCAAGGGGCAATCATAAGCAAATTCAGACTTCGTTTTGAGGCGAGCAAGATCACTGTCATTTGCTTTCTCACTTTTTGCATCACAGCAACATATGCACACTTAGATTTTTTCGCCGAGATGGGCACCACCGAGCAGCTCGGCATTTTATTTTGCTGGATCTCAGTGAAAAACTTGCCGAGATTCAGCTAACAAACGGGAATTTTGCCGAGATCTCAGCTAACAAACATATTTTTTGCTGAATTTCCAGCAAAATAAAATGCCGAGCTGCTCGGTGGTGCCCATCTCGGCAAAAAAATCTAAGTGTGTGGACAACAATCAATACGAAACTAACGATTTTAAATTGGCTCACCACTTTAGTAGCCTATTGGTCCCAAGCAAACGATTAACGTACCCTATTCTAGTTGAAATTCTATTACTACACTATGTTTGTTTTGATTCGCTATGAAAGTTTGACAGATAACATCAGGGGTGTGTGGATTCATGCAGAACATGCAGGGGTGAGTGAAATAGCTTGGGACTGCTTGGGACCGTTGTTCTGGTACTGAGTGAGCCAAAAATAATAATGATTTTCTTCGGGACCCAGTGGTCTTAGAGTTACCTCTATGATATGGAGGTGCGAAGCCGAAAAGTTGCTGTCAAGCAAAACAACACCACAAATCGGGCACTTCCTGCCTGCAACTCCAAACTAGTATGATTGCGATTCTGAACTTTCGGTACCTAAATTTCCTTCGGTTTCCAGCTCCCATCAGGATCGCTCATCGAATGGCCTCTGAATTTATCATTTTGGCTGTTGCGGAGGCTGGATGACCGGATCTATTCATCGCAATTTTTCGGGTCACTTTATTTCGTCTTCAGAACTGACCGATCTCCCCTGAACAGTCAAAATTCGGCGTTGGGGGTGATCCGGTTGCTGTCTCAACGAGACTAACCAGCTACCTAAGCACCTCGCTCATGTCCAGTGTACTGGAACCTAGACTGGAACAGCTCTGGGTTGTCGTGGAATTTCCACAAAACATTCTCAGTATAGGCGCTGTCTACCTTTCTCCTGACCGAAAAAAACGACTGCACGATCATCCTTAATAAAGGCCGGCGCACAATGCATACGTTTTCGGGTTTTTGACAGATAATGCATGGGCTAACTGTCAAAATACCTGAAAACGTATCTATTGTGCGCCGGCCTTAAGGTGTTTACATCTGTACGGATTTACAAGCGCTAGTGTACTAGCACGAATTTCAGTTGCTCCTGAAATATCATGCTGGTAGACGCTGATGCCCTGTTTACATTATGCTGGTGAGCTTTTCTGGTAGCAGCTGGCTCATAGCGCTAGTGAAATAGCATAAGTGTAAACTAGAGAGGGTCTAGTATAAGAGAGGAGCGGACTGGCTAGTTTTGAGCCAAACGAACTGTTAAAGCCCGATTGGCAGCGCCTATCTTGTTTGCATTAATAGTGTTGCTTGAAACCACCTACAGGCATAGGTTGCCAAGGTAGTTTGTTTTGAATCCGTTCCTCTCTTATACTAGACCTTCTCTAGTGTAAACACCCCATAAGCATGTGGAATCGTTAGGCTCGATTTCATCTCGATTGAGTCCCCGCTCTCTGACTCTTCTATTTGGCAACCGGGACTAAATCGAAGCAACTGTAATCGAAATATTTTACGCGTAAACACAAGTGAGAGAAGAACAGGGCTGTTATGACACACACCCGCTGGAAAATGTCGCACATACTAGGAATTTGCTTGGTGGATGAAATCCCTCACGCACACCAACAGCAGGAAGATTTCCGGTCAGCAGAAGGTAATTGTTCGTCGGTGAGTGAGTCGCTCGCACCGAGTGCAGTTAACCAAATACACCAAATTGGCTGGTTGAAAGAAGCGCGTGGCGCTAGGCGTGGCGTTAAATTGTTCGGTGGAGAAGTGCGGTCTCTCGATTCTCTACGATGGGAGTGCGATTGTCAATCCGCGTTTGATTCGTCGACATTTTGCACGTTTGCCCAGTGACATTCTGCACGGTGAGAAGAATTCGTTGTGGTTGTCCAGCAACGTTCGTCCGGCACGGCGAGAACGCATCCCGGGAGGAAAGTTGCAACAAATCGGAAAAGGTAATACGCGCATTTACTGCGATTTCCAACAACGCTCAAAATATGCTTATTGCTTCACAACAAACAATCCGGCGATCTCCGATCTGCTAATTACCGTTCAGACGTAGCACTAACACAGCAACTGCTCAGTGGCTACTGTCTTCAAATTATAAGGTAACGAAAACCATTCAGTAATTCGCCTTTCAACTAACGTGTTTTCCTGTGGAATAGAGCCAATTGCTGACGCAGAGAAGCGAGGACCAGACCGGATTCAGAGCGAAAGAGGCCCTCCACGGAAGTAAGAAACAACTCGAGGAAAATGCCTTCAGACAAGTAAACTAGCCCACTTTTCTAGTGTTCTTTTTTCTACCTTGGCTTGAACAAAGCACCAATACCAGGCGAGTACTTTCAGGGTCTTAGTCCCGCGACGGTGGCGTGTCGTGCGAGACCCACTTTGGAGCTGTTTCGGCGATAGGCCATCATCGGAGTCGTCGAGAATAGATCAAGGCAAGAGAACGGCGCGGTGCTGTGTGTCATGTGTACGGCAACGAAGATGGTGCCCCGCACCGAGAAGAAGAAGATATGTATGTGAGTAATATCGATAAGCTAGGAAATTAGTAGAGAAAAAGGAAGAAGGATAGGGAGAGGAAGGTGACAGGAAGCGTTAAGGAAGGAATGTGGGATATTGGGTGCGAATAAAACAATGCTAAACTAACATTCGGCCCCATTTTGTTTTGTTGGTGCACTTGCCCATTAGTGTTCTGTTTTGTGTGTCCTATGGTAGCTCAGCTCTGCCGACTGAGAAAACCTGCAACAAAGGTGGCGCGACGGTGATTCGATATTTCCCAGGGGGTAAGTCACTCTACCACCTTGTGTCTGTGCTTATTAAATAAGGGTCATGACAACAAATTTTGTTTCATGTGTGTTGTTGGGTGTCGGAAGGTGTTTCTGGGTGTTTCTTCATCAACCGAAAAAATGAATTTATTGACAACCGTATCCTCGACCATTGACCTTTCTGACGTTTATATTGCGCATTTTGCACCAAATTAGACTCCTGTGCAAAAAGTAATTGCACAGTAATAGTTTCGCACAGGCCAGACAATTTAAAAATCAACTTATTTGAAAGCAGTAACAGCTTTAGAACATTACTAGCAAGCTACACTGTTGAATTAAAGCTCTAGAA